AGTAGTCATTCATAGTTTTTCAACCTCTTTTTAATTCTCTTGAATTTCTTCAATAGTTCTCAATGGTTTTCAGATCGACTCTCAGCCGAAGCCAGGTAATGGCCCAGTATCTTAAATGACTTGTGTACTAACTCTATATGGGACGTTGGGCCCGGTTCCCAACATGTGCTACTCCCCACGAATAGACTAGAGCATTTGTACCCCCCCCCAAAAAAAAGTCTGGCGCAGTGACCCTACGCTGTGTTTCGTTTGGCCGCCAATACCGAAACTCATCAGGGGTCCTTTTTTTTCTCCAAGATCATGAACAAACTACTGAAAACCAGGATAGATGATGAGAAAACTACGAATCTTTTTTTATGATCGCTCAACCCCTCCTGAAATCCAGCGCATTTTTCCGAACACTCAAGTATCTAAGGGATTTTCAACAGATCGTAACAAAGCTCACCAAAGACTCGGGATAGCCTGAGGAAGTTTGAGCTTTTGAATCCTTTTATTCTTGCGGGCCTAAATCCGAGGTCCTGTAAGAATTTCTAAACTTCTTCTTTTTTTTTGTTCAACTTTCTAACGTACTTGTAAATTGAATCCTGATTTCTCCCAGAGACTGCTCATAAATTGACATGATCCATTTGCAATCTTTGTGAAATGATCCTTCAAGGAGAGGATTAGGGATTAGCTAAAATGGTTCTAGAACCCGAATGGGAAGCCCGTTTTGAAGCTCACTCTTATGGATTCAGGAGAGGACGTAGTTGTCAAGATGCCATGGAAGCTTTGGGTAGAGCCATTAGAGCCAATATGTGTTTGATGCCGACATTGCAACGTGCTTTGATCGAATCAACACTTCGTGCATCTTGGACAAGCTCAGATATTGGTACCGCCATGTAACTTTGAATTGCTTCTATGTACTATGATCGACAATCTGGTCAACAATACGACTTTCATCCATATCAGGAGGAATCATCGAAGGTCTAGTGTAAAATGACTTGCCAATGTCTACAAGCAGCAACTTGGATGCACAAAATACAAGATACGTTCTTAAATAAAGAGAGACTTCAACAATATGCAAAGGGTTGTCTGCATCTCTCCGAACATCTATCGTCGCTCATAACCCTCCATATGCTTATACTAGTATGAACATATCAAATGCAATCAACTTCCATACCTGGTGATACAAACAAGCACATCAGTTCACATATCTCTTCTTCTAACCGAACTAACACCCGACATCACCACATTCTCTTAAAATAGCATTATTGATAGGCTTGTTTTTCAGGTTACACAATATGTCCACTACATCAGTCCGTGAATTGTCGTATAGCCTGACTAATCTTGAGGTTTATCCTCTCTAGTATATTTTTGTAGATCTTATCACCTTTGTAGGTTTTTCTTAATGCATTGTTGCAAGTATGTCCATTGTCCAAATAAGTAATGATAGCTCCAAAATAGTTTGCTCTCCACAACAATGCATCAACAATAATGTTGTACTTCGTTAAAGGTCCAACTCGTCTATGACTCTAGCCTGCCTCTGCAACTTAATGGATATGGGGGCCTGAGCTTCCAATCAGCACTGCACTATCTGATGGTCCAAAGACCTAGAAATGTTTATCTAACAAATGATGACGCGATTTGCCGTGCTTCATAGAGGACATATATTGTCATACAATTCCGTCTCATAAGTTAAATCTGTAACTTTTACCCACAACAGTCTTTTAACATGAAGTGAACTGGCTATAGAGTCACCCCAATCCTATATTGGCCATAGGTATTCTTTCCCATCATCTTGTTGTAGGGCCACCCCAATCGCACACTGACCAGCGTTGTCGAGACCTGGCCCTGGGGCCCCGGTGGGGGTACGGGGGTGGGCACCCCCGACCTTGGCCCCGGACCCCCACAAAAAGGGGGGAAAAAAAACGGGGAAAAAAAAGTGGGGGGTGCGCAGCGAGAGTCCGCACTCCCTGGTCCTACCCACAACTTGTGGGGTATTTGGACCCTCCCCCGGGGCCACACCCACCACTGGCGGGACCAGGGTGGCCCTTGGTGCGGGTCTGGGGGCGGGG